CCTGTGACTTGTGGAAATTTAGGGTCTGCTCCATGATGATGAAAAACTACTAGCATGGTTTCTGAAGTATTGAGTTACAAGCCAGCTCTCACACCATTGAGTTGTTAGAGCAAGGTCAGATTAGAGATTGGCTCTCAGACACTGGTCATTTTAATTGTTAGCGGTGCATACATACATTTTGGTTTCATCCAAGAAGCAAAATTGTTCATGGCAATCTGAGTAATGCTTTTCATGAAAAGTGTCAGCATGAAGGATCTCATAATATATTTATTTTTTGCCAGTTGAGAGTTTCATATGGTTATCTCAGATTTCCTCTTGCATATTTCCTTGTGCATATTAACATTTGCCCTCTGTGGAGTTTGATAACTAACTCATTACACTCTTGGATGAAAAATGAATGTCCCCTCACTGCTTGTTAATCCCCATCCCCCTGGGCTTATAGGACTCCCTTCCATCACTTATTAATTTTTGACTATTTCGTCATCCAACTTAAGATAATGCTGGTAAATTTTATTTTGAAATGTACTTTGGTAAGAAACCATTGGTTTGCAAACTTTAAGTGAAATATATGATCTGTTTGATACATCTGAACTATAAACTTATTTATATTCTAACGTCGACAAGACTTTCTGTGACTTTTCTATAAATACTTTCATGGTAATTGTTCTGATGTATATTATAGTACCTAGACTTTATGAATTTAAGCATAGTACTAGATTGGCAGTAAACTCATCATTTTACAGTTGAAACTGCTAGCAAGGCCTATGCTAGCAGTTTCTTCTCTCACACTTCTCACTTGTGGAACTCTCTTCTGGCTTCTTGCTTCCCAGTCAACCTGGATCTTCAAAAATTTAAATGCAATATCAATCATTATTTTCTATCTTCTTAATTCAATTCCTATTCTTCTATTGTTCTCTCTCCTTATTAATGTCTTTTTTTTTCTCATATTCTCTCATATTCAGTACCCCCCCTGTGTCTTAGTGGCTTTATCACCTTGTTTGTTGTGAAATGATTAAAAAAAGAGTTCAAATTTTGAGTGAGGCTGTTTATATTCACTTAACATTAATGTCCTTGTGTTCACTTCTCCCTTCCAGCTAAGATCAAATAGCAATTTCAATCGTTATCTTCTGTCTGCTTAATTCTTGTTCTTTTATTGTTTTTTCCTCATATTCTCTAACACTCAGTAACTCCTTCTGTCTTAGTGGCTTTATTGCCTTGTTTCAGGTGAAATGATTGAAAAAAAGGATTTAATGAAAATAGTTTTCGATTTTACTTAGACATTGATGGACATTTAGTTTTATTCTTCAAGGTTTTATTATAGTTTGAAAAACTTGTTTTTAATCATTTCTCAACAATTTATTGAATTCATCCCCTGTTTATTAGGTTTTGTTATGTTTTCCAACCCCCCTCCCATTTATTATGGCCACACCTTTTATTTGGCACCTGAGACTATTAAAAAATACATTCATCTAGATCATGAACAAAAATTCTTTAGTCACAGAATCTGAAAAGGAAATGGTGAAAATACAACCATTTTAAAGAGAGAAAAAAACCTTTCTACTTTGTCAGGAATGTATGCTTTCTTGAGAGAATAACATCTAAAAACTATTATTGTAGAATTTAGAAAGAGTAAAAAGAAACTTGGAAGCAATCTTTGAAATCTTATGGATTATGCATCTGACAAAGTCTGAAGAATGGATTGGTGAAAACATTGCAGTAAGAACATCAACAAGAGATAAGACATTTGTACAAACAAAATTTGTGATGTTAATAACACTATTCAAAGTTACAGATAATAGAAAACATTTTGTGCTTTATTGGATATTTTAAAAAAAGATTAATATTTACTTATTTTTTTAATTATTTTTGATTCCAATAGCTGTTGTGTCTGTTAATATAATCCTGTCACTATTTTTAAACAGGAAAAGAGCTTGTGTTAATAATTTTTGTACACAAACTAATGTAGAATTAACTTTAATCACTCGTATTGGGATTTAAATTCTTAAGCATCCTTTATACGACTTCTTCTAGAAGCTTCACAGTAGATCTTGATAAACTGAAAATTTGTTTGTTTTTTGTTTTTTTTTTCTTCTTAATCAATCATTTTTTGTGCTGTTTTTACCATTAACCAGAAGATGGATTTTCTGTTCTTGTGGAACGATGAGCTCATGTCTGCTCAGATAAACAAATTAAGTAGACAAAACAATTTCTAAAATTTGTGATATGTTGGGAATTAGATTTCACCTTCCAGTCAAGAGCGAGTTCTCCCTGCTGGATGTTCGTATTGTGAACTCTATCTATCTAGACACTTGCATATATTATTCCAGCAAGTTGGGAGTTCTCAACTTGGATGTCAAGCATAGACTGAACTGTTAAATTTTCATTCCATTATCTGTTTGCAGTCTAGGGGGAATAAAGCTCCTACTGCTTTTTATTAACAGATATGCAAGCGGTGTAAAAGCGGATCAGAACAAGAAATCAGCAATTCTAATATTGTTCATTGCATTAACTTTTGTAAAAATAACCTTGGGAAAGGTATGAATCCATTCCTTCTTCTCTCAGCCTTATGACCATTTCACATTCTGCACCTAGATGGGTAACCACTTGGGAATATCAGGTGCTGTGAGCTTGGATGTGCAGCTGGTGTAATGGATAATGGCTGGAAATTGGAAATCGGAGAGCTAAGTTACAATTCCAGTTGGGTTTGTTATGCAGAAATCCCCTTGGGAAAAGTATGAACCTTCTCCCCCCAGCTATGGGTTAATTAGTAGGACATATCAGGAAGTCATTATTATGTCAAAAAATTCTTACAATCTAAAAATATTTTCTGGTTTTAAATAACCTGTAAAAGGTTGATAAGTAATAAAAAACAAATCAGTCGAGTGTCAGAAAAAACAAGCAGAAATAAAAAGTCACCTGGCATTTTGATTTATTGTAATAACAACAAAGAAACATTGTAGAAATAATATAATAATAGAAAAAAAGATGAAAATTTACTTTAACAATGAAGAAGACTTTTCAAAAACAAAGTCTCTACTTCTATAGTTTTATACCAGGATTTTCTTTAATCATCTCTTATGAAAAACAAGATAAGCAAAGCTCTGATTTTAAACCACCCAGCTGCCTTGCAGCCATATTCAATTATAAGAAAGGCTACAGGAGTAAACCCTGAGGACAAATCTGGAGCTGGAGTTCCTAATATAGTTCAGTATTATTTTCAACTCCAGTGATGATGCTAGTGCCAAGCTGTATTGGCCTTTACCTTTCCCTTGGATAACATCAATGGCATGGAGAAAGGAGATGTGCTGCATGGGCAACTGTAAATCTCTCATAAAACCCTTCTCCCTGGATAGAATACTCCAGCATTGCCTCACTGCAACAGCAGAACACAGGAAACAACAGTCTACCAGTTAGGAGAATTCTTGATTGGTGTGGAATGACCATCAGTCTGAAGAATACCAATATGATAGACCAAAACATTGAACAGCCTCCCGCCATCTAATCGGCTGCTGAGGCATAACTCTTTGGGCACAGATCCATGGTCTCTAAAAACCAACAGATTCCACATAAATGAAAAGCACAGAGATGATTATGGTAAAATTAATGTTATAAGCTTCAGGCATTTGTCATCCCCAGCTTAGTTTACTGTATTAGGCGATGGTAGCAGTGCATTAATATTAAGTTTTGTATGATGATTGGTAAATGCTAGTGAAATGTTAGTCATTATTCATTAGATGAAGCGTTTGTATACAGTTATTGTTATTGTACACACACCTGCTTCATTAGCTGTAAGCCTTCTTTTAACAGTGATATATGATATATATATATTTTTGTTCAGTCTTTGTTATAGTCAAAATAATAAATGATTCCTTCTCAGACTATGACCTTTGGAATTCATTATACACTATTTGAGCAACAATCCAAATTCTAGGGTAAAAATCTCAGAGACTAACATCAAGTTTTGTATGAACATTGGTCAGTGCTAGTGAAATATTAGTCCTATTGGAAATAGCTTATGGTAAATGTACTATGAAGAAATTATGAATGTCACAGGCTATTCAAAGAAGGGCATGAAAATATGTACAATGACCACAAAATACAAGGAATAGATGTCAATCTGGACAGAGTCTAAACCTTAGTGCACTCAGTTCAAAGATTGTCTAAGTGACGACAGAACTAAATATGAATAGAGAAACACTATTGTTGATTCTAACAGAAGATTTGGCAAGGAGAAAAATTCCCTCAAAGATGGTGTCTTTAATCTTGACTGATGAGAAGAAAATGCATGTTTTATCCAATCTTTTGAAGAATTTAAGTTTGACAGGATTATTACATGGAATGAAACATGGTGTTTTTAATATAACCCAGAAAAAAAACACCAGAGTAGGCAATTTGAAAGTAGGGAAGCACTTTTTTGCTTACCAACTATGTGCTTAATCTTCCAACCTTGACTGCCTGTCACAGTTGAAACCAAAGTCAAGAGAAAGTCAGAATTGAAGTAGCTCACCTTATGCAGATAACAGTTACTAGCAGAATGCATGTAAATTACACAGATTTAGTAATAATTTTTTTTAATACTACACTGTACTTTTCAATCCCTGACCATTCTCAAATATGAGAAAAGTGACAGTCCTTGGTCCTTTCATATTGAAATGCCCTCAGCAGATTGTTAGGTCATGAGACATGATTTAACCCCTCACTGCAAACAACTGCATCTATCTAAAAGGATCTGTTTGTCTCTCCATCTCTCTCTCTCTCTCTCTCTCTGTTTTATTCTCTATGCCCATCTCTCTTGGACATTTAACACAGTTTGGGTTTAATAGGATTTTTGGTTAGAACATCATCTATTTTTATTATATTTCAAAATGATTATAATTATTAAAGGAAGATTTTAATTCCCAAAGGTCACTTGCAGTTCAGGGGCAAATTTGTCCTTAACAGATTGTTAGATCACAGGACATGATTTAACCACTCACTACAAACAATTGACTTTATCTAAGACAATCTCTCTGTGTATCTATTTCCCCTCTCTCTCTTTCTGTTTTATTCTCTATGTCCCTCTTTCTCTCTCTTTCTGTCTTATTCTCTATGACCTTCTCTCTCTTTCTGTCTTATTCTCTATGACCTTCTCTCTCTTTCTGTCTTATTCTCTACATCTCTCTCTCTCTCTTTCTGTCTTATTCTCTACATCTCTCTCTCTCTCTTTCTGTCTTATTCTCTACGTCTCTCTCTCTCTCTTTCTGTCTTATTCTCTACGTCCCTCTCTCTCTTTCTGTCTTATTCTCTACGTCCCTCTCTCTCTTTCTGTCTTATTTTCTATGTCCCTCTCTCTCTTTCTGTTTTATTCTCTATGACCTTCTCTCATTTTCTGTTTCCATCTTAGATGCTCAAAACAATTTGGGTTTAATAGGATTTTTTATTAGAAGAACATCATCTATTTTTATTATATTAGTAAATGACTGTAATTATTAAAGAAAGATTTTAATTTCCAAAGGTCACTTGCAGCTCAGAGGCAAATTTGTCCTCAACAGATCTTTAACCCTTCAGCCAACTGTCTTTACCTAAGATGATCCCCTTTTCACTCCAATTCTCTCTCTGTGTCACACTCTCTTTTTGTCTCTCTGCTTTCCTCTTTCATTCTTGCTACACAATGGCACTGGGCATATATTTACTGTATTTGATAGATGGAAATAGTAAACATTATCATAGATAATTATATAACTTGATATGCTAATTGCTTGGCATTTAAGTTGATAAGTGTTAAAAAAATTATTGTTATTATACACACCTGCTTCACCAGCTGTAAGCCTTCTTTCAAAAGTCATATGTGATATATATTTTTTCATTCAGTCTTCATTATAGTCAAAATAATAAATGATTCCTTCTCAGATTGTGACCTATGGAATTCATTAAACACTATGTTTAAGCAACAATCCAAATTCTAGGATAAAAATCTCAGGGAAAAGGTCACAAAATATCTTGGTTTTCATCTTGAAAAGGGAAAAAAAGTTGCTTCTATTATTTTAGGGGGGGGATTTTATATCACATCTCTTTACAATGTAAATCAAAGGATATATTAACTCCTTGGATTACAGTCATTCTACATGGTGAACATTTTCTGATTCAAACTGCTTTAAAAAAAAATATGTAGAAAGTAGCTTAAATTTATTGACAGAAGGAAACAGACAGTAAATTGGTTAGAGGGCTCTTAGCTTAAAATATTCAGGATATAAAAAAATCTATATATATAAAATGCAATGTTTGTATGTGTAACACTTTTGTATATCACCGTCAGAAGAGTTCACAACATAAAGATGAATTGCCTACTTTTTATATATAGTACACTATTCTGATAGTGGAAAAAGAATTTTTTTTTTTTTTTTCACTGTTATTGATTCAGTACAAGACCTTAGAGAGTTACTGAATGAGGTTGTTAAAAGTAGATATCAATTGACCTGAAACTTGAAAACATTAAGATTGTAGTTATCTTGGAAGCATTCTCTTGAAAGTTTGTTCCACAAACTAATGGTTCTTAGGAAGAACCTGCTCATATGGAATTTCCTTCTTAACCAATGAAAGGAAATGGGGATGCTATTTTTAAACTTGACAAACACCATAATTTTGTTGTCTCAAATCATTTTTCACTATTAGATGACTTTTAACACTCAGATAAATGTATAACAATTTTCTAATTGCACTGTACTTGTAAAATATCAAGAACTTAAATATTTCTATGATTTTTTGACAATGTGGATAAAATACAGGGTGCTTAGTAAAAAAGCGGTAAATTCAGAAAGATGTGAGACAACTGTTGAAAATTGGTGACAACTGATGCAACTGAAAAATTCAGGAAGAATTTTACACATTTTGTCAATCCGCACACTGGATGTTCTTTATTGAAAAGTACGACAACTTGACACTCAAAATTGGTGAGTTGTTTAGCCATAACAGAAGAGCAGAACAAAAGACAAAAGTTGCCTGCAAGTAACCTTTAAATGATGAGTCACACGATCAAGCAGCAATTAATCAATCATAAAAGAACCAATCAGATTTAAATAATTATGCAAGAGTCAAATGATTATTCAAGGTTCTGAATATTGTAGAAATTTATTCATGGTTATTCAAGGTCAATTATTGCTGAAAGATAAAACTGATAAATTTGCCACTTTTTTACTGTGTAAAATAAACAGGATAAATAAACGCATTAAAATGATAAACTCAGATTTTGTCTTCAATAAGTTTTGGGCTATAAGTTAATTAGTACAACATGTATCAGTAAATAATTATTATCTAAAAAAAAATTCATCCCATCTAAAAATATTTCTTGGCTTTAAATAACCTGATACATATTAATCAATCAACCAAACTTTGGCCTTGTAAAGGATAAGCATTAGTTTAAAAAAAAAAAGAAAAAAAGAAAGAAAACATGATGGCAGAAACCGGTGAATTGAAAAATATAAATTAAAAAAAATCATCTCAGGATAATTTTATTTTCTCCTTTATTTTATGTATTCAAGAATTATGGAATTTACTCTGCATACCTATCTTCATCTAAGGTTGTTGTTTTTGAGTTTGTTTTTCTTCCTAAAGTATTTATAATGTTTGAAAATTGCATTTGTAATTACATTTTCATGTTTTGGCTCTAAAATTTTCATTGATAACAGTAAAATAAAAAGAAAACTCTTAGGTTATTATCAAAAACCTCTACAAACCTCATATTTTTTTTTACCAAAAGATGTTTTTGGTTTCAGCTTAACTTCAAAAGAGAAAATGCTGTAAAAGTAAAAATTATCTAAAGTAAAACTAATAGAAATCCTGTTCAGATACACTTGCCTCTTTTAAGCTTTTCAAGTTAGCTTCAAATGTTGCTCATTTCCTTTGAATTGATCAAATACAGTTCAAGGCAAAAGGAGCAGGAAGGATTTTAGAAAACATTACTGAAATTCTTTATAAAAATTAACAGGTCACTGACTTTTGTTTTTTTCTCCCTCCAGTTATGGGTTAAATAAGTAGGACAGGTCTGAAAAAAAAAAATCATTATTATTTTTTTTTTTTTTAATTGCTAATGCAATATTCTCTCATAAAAATAGAATTATTTTTACAATCAAAAACATTTTTTTGGTTTAAATAACCCACAAAGGTTTTGGTTAAAGGCCATATGTAATACACACTTGGACGATCATGTCTCTTCCTATTCATTACTGACTAGACAGAAGATTTTCCCGCAGATGGTTACCACTTCTTTCTGTGGTAGACTGGTTGTCAACTGAGGCTGTAGGATACAATCTGTCCTGCTATTCAACTCGCAGGTGAGAAGAGAAAAGATGGATTCCCAAAGGTATTTGTGCATGTGAATGCAATGAAACCTGCTGGAATTTGAACTCAGCACTCCAATTTCTGATTCCCAACTGATATCCATGACACCACAAAGCACAAAAGGTTGGTGAGCTGTAAAAAATAAATGAAACAACACTGATTTTTTTTTTTCTACTCTTTTTTCCATTTATAAAAAGTAGTTAAACTATTTTTAATGCTTCACCACTGAAAGTCACAAAACAGTGCAACCAGTAAGAATAGAACTCTTTTTACTTTTCTTTTTTTCCTCTCTCCAAGTTGAGCACGGTGGAGTAATGGATAGCAGCTCAGATTGAGGAATCGGAGAGCCGAGTTCAAATTCCAGTCGGATCCATTACATTCACTTACATGCTAATAAGCTTGGGAAAGATATGAATCCACTGCTTCTCTCCCCAGCTATGGGGAAATAGCAGGACAAACCAGGTTCTGTAGCCTTGGATGACAACTGGTTTACTGCAGAAAAAAAATGGCAACCTACTGTGGGATAAAAATCCGCCTTGTCAGTCATGTATTGAAAAATACATGATCGCCTATGTGTCACGTATGGCACCTAACTGACTGAACTGCTACACTACAGTCGATGAACAGCTATTTTTTAATGACAGGGAAAAGTAACCATTATTTGTTTGAATGATAATCATGATATTCATTTACTTCATAAAATAAGCTCATCTCATTGCACAGCTCATTGTGTGATTTCTATAATCAGGGAAACGGGGCATAGGAAAACCACATTGCCCCAAACCTACAAGTGTAGATGATCTGCCTATATTGAAAAATCATATTTTGAAATCCGTGTTTTCATTTTTCAATATAGTCAGGCCTTCCCCACTTGTAGTTTTGAGGCAGCATGGTCTTCTTACCCTCACCATTACCACCTTCTATTTCTCAGCCATTTGATTTTTCCTACATGCATGGATGGTCTGGCTATATTGAAAATTCATTGTTTGAAATTCATGCTTCAAATAAACACATGAATTTCAAACAGTGATTTTCCAATATAGACAAACCGTCCACACTTCCTCATTACCACCCTCTATTCCTTAAGCATTTGGCTTTTTACCAGACAAAACTAAAATTTGAGCAAAGTTATATAGCATTGTCTAGGTTAATTGAATGATCAGTATTGGCTTTTGGTAAAAAAAAAAAATAAATAAAAATTCAACCTTGTCCCAAATAACTGCTTTTCCAGATGATGATTTTGTGTTCGCAAAAAAGGAAAAGTTTTTTTTTTTAAAAAAAAGGTATTTTACTTTTTTTAAGCAATACATTGGTCCCCTTTCCCACTGGCATAATGTAGCTTCCCTGTGACTTTTCTAGAAATACTTTCATGGTAATTGTTCTGATGAACTTAGCTATGTACCTAGACTTTATGAATTTAAGTGCGGTAATTGGCATCTAGATGTAACCGTAAGTTTTATGCTGACATTTTCCTCTACTGCACTTCTTACTTGTGGAACTCTCTTTCAGCTTTTGACTTCCCAGTCAATTTTGATCTTCAATAAATTAAATGCAATGTCAATCATTAACTTTTGTTTTTCTTAATTCGTGTTTTATTGTTATTTCTCCTTAAGCATTTTTTTTTTTTTTTCACTCATATTCTCTAACACTCAATAACTGCTGGTGTCTTAATGGCTTTATTAAAAGGAGTAGAAAAAAAGAAAAAGAATTAACTATTTGATTTTACACCATTTTTTTAAAGTAAGGATAGAAAAAAAATGGTCTATCAAATTTGGTACATAGAACAGAAAATCATGTCTGTTTTGTTAATTGAATCTACCTGGACAAAATGAGGCCAGTTTTGAAGTGCTATTTTTAAAATCAAATAAGTACCCTTTATTTCAACATTTTTAAAATCATTTCCTCTCAAGGCAGGCAATAGAGTCACTAAGGCAAGGGATTACTGAGAGTGAAAGAAAAAAACATTGAGGAGAGAGAGAGAGAAAACATTGAAAGACTAGGATTCAAAGAGACAGAATTTTATTATTTGCTCTCCTTA